GGTGTACGCCATGCACCGGTCCGATGAGTACTGGCCCAGGGCTAGTAGGTTTGACCCGGAGCGTTTTATGCCAGAGAATAAGGGTAATATTATTCCGTACTCGTACCTGCCCTTTGGTGGGGGTCCCAGGGCTTGCATTGGGCAGAGGTTTTCGCTGATGGTGGTCAAGTTGGCCATCGCCCGTATTGTGAGACAGTTTAAGTTTGCCCCGTGCGAGCGCACACAAGTCCCGGTGCCGTTGACTAAGCACTTGCGTTTCAAAGCGGCCCAGTCTATTTATTTGCATATTGAGGCTCGTGGTTAAACCAACATGCTTTTTAACTGCTTGATTTTAACTGCTTATTTGTGCTTTTTATTTTAATTAATTAGTAAGTTAGTAGTATAATAAATATATGTATTTTAAGTTAGGGAAATTAGAATTTATATTTTTCAAATCTCAATTGACAATCTCAAGTTAAATCTTAAGTTTATGTTGAATTTTAAAACTTCATTGTAAACTTTGCATAGATTTTAAAATATTTTATAAGTAAAATTAATTATAAGTAAAGTTAAATATAAATGATAAATTCACAATAATCAAGTGTACGATTGTGTACATCAAGTGTAAAATTTTAACACGTTGTATTTTCATGACAGTTTAGTTAATTAATAAAACTATTGTTTACTTAAAATAGTGGTTAATATTATTAACAATAAAATTTTTATTAATAAAAACGGTAATGGATTTTTTCCAATGTTATTCTATTATTAGTTTTAAAAACAGCTATAATTTTTTATTAATTAAATTATTAGATTAAAGTTTTTAATTAAAAAATTATTTTAATGTATAATTTATAAAGTGTTTTGACTAAACTGTCTATAAACTAGAAAATATTATATAAACGATAATAAATATTTTTGTTATTAAGTTAATGCCATTATTATTACATGAAGTGTCTACCAAAGACAATATACTTTATATGAAATATAAATAAATGCATGTACTTTCTTGTACTTGTATTAATGTCTGTATTAAATATATTTTTGTATGAACTATTATAATGATAAAAAAGTAAATACATGTATAACATTTGTCATTATATCACCTATTCAGTACGTTGGATAGCAAATAGTTTAATTAATCTGCTTATATTATTTATTTGTTTTATACAAAGTTTAGTGATATTTAGGACATTCTTTGTATAATAGAATTTATATCTTATAAAATAAATGTATATATTTTGGATAAAATAAGGTTTAGATTTATGTTTTTATTAAACTATACAATAAAGTAAAAGTATAAAATGCTATTGTATTTAAACACTATATTATAACTTGTGCTAATAAAACATATAAAGATGATCTAATAAATTAATTCACAAATTCATTATAAGCAAAATTAAGTTTTAGCTTATTACATTCCTTAAATAAAAATTATGACAAAAATAATTATAAATAGTGGTCACATCTCATCTGATATAAATGATACAAATGTGAATAATTTTTATAATATCCAGTCCGTCATTTAAATCGTACGCCTGGGAAATCGTTATATCTCTTAAACGGGATGAGCTAGATCAATTCTGTAAATTGTAAAACAAAGTTCCATATTTGTAGTTTTTTTGTGTAAAAAATTTTTGAAATCACGTGATCAGAACACAAAAATTTTTGGGTCATTTCGAAATGCCATACTTTTAGACCAGTTGAAAGGGGGGTCGGCAGGAGGCGGGTATGCTATGTGGAAGAGGAAATGTCAAAGTATATTATAGCAAAGTTTCATAATCATCGAATAATTATTCTTTCGTAGCGAACAAAATATTCAAGAATTTTGATCCAATATTTGGACAAAAATGGCCCAATTTTGACCTTTTTATACTACATTTTCGTTGTTATAAAAGGTCGACTTCAGAACCATTTTTTCCCATAGACGTAATGTTAATAAAATTGACAATTTCTCGTAAATGGCTGGACTAATCATAATCAAATTTTGCTATAATATACTTTGACATCTCCTCTTCCACATAGCATACCCCCTTCCGACCCCCCTTTCAACTGGGCTAAAACTATAGCATTTTGAAATGACCCAAAAATTTTCGTGTTCTGATCACGTGATTTCAAAAATTTTTCGCACAAAAAAACTACAAATGTGGAACTTTGTTTTACAATTTACAGAATTGATCTAGCTCATCCCGTTTAAGAGATATAACGATTTCCCAGGCGTACGATTTAAATGACGGACTGGATAATAATATTATTGTAAATAACGACCAAGATGATTTAATAAAACAAACATCATTTCAATGGGAGCTACAGGATTTGACCAAGCATCAATCGCAAAATTACCTAGCCAATATTATACGTTTAGAAATCAATCGACATGTTAACAGTGATAAGAAAAGTGACCAGGCGTTCTACGTGGTAGACTTGGAGAACATGGTTCAAAAGCAAGCCAGCTGGCTACGTTCAATACCACGGGTTAAACCGTATTACGCTGTCAAGTGTAACCCAACCCCAATTGTGCTCGAGCTTCTGGCAACCCTCGGGTGCGGTTTTGATTGCGCCTCAAAGGTTTGTTTTAAAAGACAACACTTAGTTAACAAAGTAGAAATATCGCTTTTAAATAATCTAGAATATAAATTTTATTTGTCAGTAAGTGTTTTATAAGTATAAATTCTGTCCAATTCTTAGTGTCTATAAGTGTTTTATAAAAAAAAGTTGCTTATTATTATGTGCTCTATTTATAACTTATAAATCACAAGTGATTTTAATTGTTAATAAATATTGCAGGGTGAAATTGATCAAGTGCTAGGTATAGGTGTGGCGCCCCATCGCATCATATACGCCAACCCATGCAAAGCGAGTTTGTTCATAAGGCACGCCCGGGCGGTAGGAGTCCGGTACATGACCTTTGACAACGAGTATGAGTTAGACAAAATCCAGCGCTTATACCCCGAGGCACTTATGGTCATACGGATTAAAGTGAACGACAGTTACGCCCGGTGTCCGTTGGGCAGTAAATTTGGCGCCCATCTAGATCAAGTGCCCGGTTTGTTGCTCAAAGCTAAGGAGTTGGGCGTACAGGTGGTTGGCTGTAGTTTTCATGTGGGCAGTGGGTGTATGAGCGCACAGGCCTATTCGCAGGCCATAGCCAGCGCCAGGAGTGTGTTTGACACGGGACTGGCCCTGAGATTTAAAATGACTTATTTAGATATTGGTAAAATTTTAATAATTAATGTCACATACACGCATTCATACATGTATGTTGTATTTAATTATACAGGTGGCGGTTTTCCCGGATCACCCGAAGCAACCGAGGTCAGTTTTGATGAACTTGCGCAGGCTGTTAACGAGGCATTGGATTTGCATTTCCCGGCACTTGACTTAAATGGCAACTCAACCAATTTGACCATCATCTCTGAATTAGGCAGATATTATGTAAACTTATTAAAACATTTAAACTTACTAAAAAACACTAAATGACACTTTTTATGAAGGTGGCCTCGGCTTTCACACTAGCCACCAGTGTAATTGCTAAACAAATTGATGAGTATCAAACTGAGCAAGGGTCTCGCACAGAAATGACATACTATTTAAACGAGGGTGTATACGGGTCGTTCATTTGCACCCGGTTCGATCACGTGGTACCAAAACCTGTATTGATAAACGCGCATGTAAATCAACCAATGTATTTATCCCACCTCGCTGGACCAACGTGTGATCGTATGGACTTAATCAGACGCAATGTTATTTTGCCTGAAATGACCGTGGGCGATTGGATGTACATGGTGAATATGGGCGCGTATACAGTGTCAGTTGTAACCGGGTATTGCGGATTCTCTGTGCCACGACTTGTGTATAACGTGTCGGCCCGGACCCGGCAAATGTTGACAAGTTTACCAGGCTGGAAGCGTATTCTAGCCATTATTGGTGATAATGAAAGTAATTGTGATGTTTGTGGTAAAAAAGGTTAATTATGTATTAATGAATCATTAATAATGATTAAATATACCATATGTATATTATAGATTAAATTAGTATTAAATAAATGTAAATCTTTTTTAGTTTAATGTGATAGATGATCCATAATAATAATAATAATAATAATAATGGTCTTTATTCAGAACACGTTGAATAGTACATAAAATTTAGTAAAATGTTAAATAGTTTTAAAATTACATATTCGTCAAATAAAAATCATTACATTTTTTAAGAAAAACATTAAAATTTATTTCATTTCGTATATTTAAAGGTAAGTTATTGAATAAATTAATCGAATGAATGAATAAGTTTTTGTCACAGAAATAGTTCCGAGTATTTGGTTTAATTAGTATTTTACCATTTCTAGTATTTTCAGATAACAAATACATTAATCGCCAGTTAATAGGCATACAGTTGTAATCATATAAACATTTAAATACAATCTTAAGAATATTCAGTTTCCTTCTAGTATTTAATGATTTGATATTTAATGATTTCAATCTTTCAGAGTAGTCTAAACCATTTACTTACAATTTAGTTATATAATACCATTTCTATTAATAAATTATGTCGATTAACTTTAATTTATTTAGTATATGTAGTGTATGTATGTGTGTGTTTTGAAGACAGCCTTTGATACAAAATTAACTTTATTTCAATAGATTTTGCAAAATAAAAAATTTGCATAATAAAGATTTTGCAAAATGTTTGTGCATAATTACTGGGAATTTACGGGAAAAATTTGCTACGGGGATTCCCTCTACTTGTTACTGGGAATCCCTTCCCTTCCCCGTGAAGTCATTCTCATTTCCCTTCCCCGTAACTCAATTGTGGAATTATAAAACGTTATTAAAGTATATTAAGAAATATTATTAACATAATCAAACACTTTACTATTAATTGTGGAAATACCTAATAAATTATTTCTCAGAACAAAATTAAACGTGACTAATTATATAATTATGGTATTTTTACTTTAAATGTTAACTAGGTTTATAACTGTTACATTGATTAAAATATAACGACATAAAATAATCATAAATAGTGTTCACATCTAATCTTATATTGATAACTTATATTAATACAAATTTAAATACTTGTAGTAATAATATGATAAATATTGACAAAAATGACTTAATAAAACAAGCATCATTACAATGGGAGCTACAGGATTTGAGCAAGCAACAATCACACACTAACTTAACCAATATTGTACGATTAGAAATTAATAGAAATGTTTCCGGCGATGAAGAGAGTGACCAGACGTTCTACGTGGTAAACTTAGAGGACATGGTGCAAAAGCACGCCATTTGGCTGCGCTCAATACCACGGGTTGAGCCATATTACGCGGTCAAATGTAACCCAACCCCAATTGTGCTCGAGCTTCTGGCAACCCTCGGGTGCGGTTTTGATTGCGCCTCAAAGGTTTGTTTAAAAAACAATACCTACTTAACCTATTGCCTTTAAATAACCTAGAATATAAATTTTATTTGTTTGTGCCTTATAAGTATAAATTCTGACCGATTATGACAATTTATAATAATTATATTATTATAATTAATAGATTAATGTTTAATAAATTTATAGCAAGAAGTTTGTTATTATCACTTTTACATATTTGTATAAACAAGTGAAACGAATACAAGACATTTATTAATGTTATTAATAATGTTACAACATTTGTATTAAACATAGTTTAGAATATTCACTATTATAATTATATGTACATTATTCAAAAGCAAAATTTAACTAAATTTATTGAGAGGTTATACTGTATATAAATATATAGAATGTGGCGGAAGTTTTTAATTAAAATTATAATTTTGCAGGGTGAAATTGATCAAGTGCTAGGTATAGGTGTGACGCCCGATCGCATCATATACGCCAACCCATGCAAAGCGAGTTCGTTTATAAGGCACGCTCGAACGGTAGGTGTCCGGTACATGACCTTTGACAACGAGTATGAGTTAGACAAAGTCCAGCGCCTATACCCCGAGGCACTTATGGTCATAAGAATTAAGGTGGAAGACAGTTACGCCCGGTGCCCGTTGGGCAGTAAATTTGGGGCCGATTTAAATCAAGTGCCCGGCCTGTTGCTCAAGGCGAGGGAGTTGGGCGTACAGGTGGTTGGCTGTAGTTTCCATGTGGGCAGTGGGTGTATGAGCGCACAGGCCTATTCGCTGGCCATAGCCAGCGCCAGGATTGTGTTTGACACGGGACTGGCACTCGGATTTGATATGATTTATTTAGATATTGGTAAGTGTTTAACCACAATTCAGCAATGAATAATGTGGTTTATATGATCGTTCGGCCCCTTATTTAAAAATATTCATAATATTTTTATCAATATATTAAGAATAATATAAACATATATTTTCATAATTTATATAAATTATATAAATTATTCAATATATTTTATTTACAATACAGGTGGTGGTTTTCCCGGATCGCATGGTGATAATGATGTAAGTTTTGATGAACTGGCACATGCTGTTAACGAAGCACTGGATCGTTATTTCCCGGCTATTGATTTAGATGGCAACCCAACCAATTTGACCATCATCTCTGAATTAGGCCGTTATTATGTAAATTAATTAAAACAATTAAAACGGCTAAATTTTAAATAAAATTTCCTATTAAGGTTGCCTCGGCCTTCACCCTAGTCACCAGCGTAATTGGTAAACAAATTGATGAGTATCAAACTGAGCAAGGTACTCGCACAGAAATGACATACCATTTAAACGATGGTGTATACGGATCATTTATTGATTGCATTCTCTACGATCACGTGGTGCCTGAACCTGTACTACTAAACCCTCATGTAAATGAACCGAGATATCTATCCCACCTCGCTGGACCAACGTGTGATAGTATGGACCTAATCAGGCGCGATGTTATCTTGCCTGATATGACCGTGGGCGATTGGATGTACATGGTGAATATGGGCGCATATACATTGTCAGTTATAACCGGGTATTGCGGTTTCCCTGTGCCCCGTCTCGTGTATAACGTGTCGGCCCGGGCCAGGAGAGCACTTGCAGTACAAGTGTTGGGTTCATGTGAGTTGAAAATTGCAGACAAAACACAACATCACTCGCTGTGAAAATGCATG